CTGAATTACTTCTGGGCTCCTCCTTTGCATAAAAATCCCCTGTGACCAACTCCCACCTCGACCCATGTGACTCTGCTTATTTCACCTTTCTTACATGCTTCCAGTCAAATTTTTTCAAATTTCCTCCTGTTCAGTGTTGAGCTGGCGTTTCCTTAGCATGTCACCCTCCAGATAATTGGTAAGTAGCACACAGGACAAATCTACCTTGGTGCCAGGGCACAGTTCTTACAAATGTGTGTTGCTCCTCATCTTTTCACTGAAATTAAGGAAGACTGGCTCACTAGTAACTGCACTCTGTCCTGAAACAAGTGCCATCACTGACTGAAGGCAGCATCATTTGTCACCTGCTGTGTGCTGAGCAGATCACAGCACCCTGGGGCGGATTCCCCTCGGGGAAGGATTTAAACAGGAGAGTGTAAATGAGTGCTCATCCTCCAGAAGAGATGGTACCCATGCACTAACTGCTCCCAGGAGCAGCCGTGCTGGGGCTGGGGATATCATGACATGAAGAGGAACACCTCCTGTGTAAATGAGGGGTTTAATATTGGGAGTGAAGAGCTCTCAGTTTGGCAGGAATGTGTCTTATTGCCGTTTAATTTTCACACATTGTGAAAACTGGAAGTGAAAACACTGTTCAAGATACTGCTAACATACAAACAGTTAATTTCAGTAACAATGCTGACACGTACTGTTGCTTTAGAAATACTGTCTCCCTAGCATCACTCAATTTTTAAAAACGATTTCAACATTTTTGGGTTGGGTTTTTTTTTTGTAAGCATATCTAACACAGGTTGACACTCTTTGATGAAATTATAAATGCATATGACATGAGATTCACTGTAAAGCTCAAAACATTTACCATACACAAAACATTCCGTATTTCCTTTTTTCAAATAACAAAGCAAACATTTGGAAAGTTAGAATGAGATACCTGAAGTGCAGGGCGGTTGAGTATTTAAATTAGCAAGTAGAAAATGAACTCCTTACCATTCTGAACGTCCAATACATGATGTTTATCCAATGTCCATCCACCCATATTGGAGGCATCCAGTTCATAACCCTGCAAAATGGCCGTCCGCTTTTCCCAGAGAGTTAGATCTAAGCAAGACTCATATTCGTAACCTACAGACACTGAAATAACGGTAAATTTTCTCATTAAGTACAGGATCCCATTCAGAAGAAGAGTTTAAAGAATGCGATTTCCTTAGATTACACAGGTTCTTCTGCTCTCCCAGGCTACCTGAAAATCCCCATGGTTTCCTTAGATGTATTGAAAATACTGAAAAGAATTCCAAAATCCTTCAAAAAGCAATCTTGGGTTATTAAAATAATTTTAGTTACTAAGTAAATGGATTAGGACAGGTACAGAGGAAAGCCATTTTGTGAAGTATGTCAGAATGCTATTGTGTTCTAAAGTACAAGGAGCGTGCAGACTAAACACGATACTGTATTATTAGGCTAAGGGCTACTTCATGGGGAAGAACTAGAAGTGAAAAATGACTGTGGGTGTTTTTTTTCCTTTTGAAAGAATTTTTTTCTTATAATTCAAAGTTCAGATTAGTATTTTCTAATATATTTTAATATCCATTGTTACTTCTCATCTTATTCTGCTAAACATCTTAATGGATACAAGTATTTGAGATGCGTTTCACCTATTTTCAAGACAACAACTCCATAACACACGTACCAACAGCTTCAGATAATCCATAGACTCTCTGGTTGTATGCATCAGTTTTATCCCATATGAAAGTGTACGCCAGATTTGGGGATGCAGGGAACCATTTTTGGAAAAGTCTTCCCACCACTGCCACCATAAGATGAACCTTCATTAAATTAAATGGTATAACAGATTGGGTCATAGTAATCTTCAGAACAGATTTATATCCTGCAGCCCTGGAGCTTAAGTATGATAATTTCAAATCGGTTCCTGGTATTGTCGTTTCTTCATGGAGTACCTATGCATTGGTAAGGAAAAAAAAAAACAACAGTATTTGAATGATTTTGAAATTAAACAGAACAATACAGCTATCATAAAAGGAGGTCTGACATAATGCTACATGACAAACCATTAAGAAGTATCATCTAAATCTGGCCTTCATTTAATAATGCAAAAAATACATAAATAAATAACATTTCACCTTTTTTTCCGAAAAGCAAAGTCTAACCTCTTCACTATACTGAAGCTGCTTAGTTGATACTTTCTGCTGAAGGATTTCAAAGCTCTCTCCTTTATTTTTATGGGGGGAAAGGAAGCATGCAGGAGAGGGAGAACATTCCCAACTGCTTTTTCTAAAACAAGCAAAAGTATCTCTCATCTATGCGAAAACAGCCCCTTCTTATGCTGTCATCTGTGTCCCAACTACAGATACACAGTAAAGCCAGTAGAGCCTCTAAGCATCGAAAAGCCTCAGATTTGGGTTGGGATGTCTAATTGCTCCTGTAGGAGCAGGAAGGACTTTTAGGTGGTTTATTATTTGTATTACCTGTGGATTGTGAATACTTTGAACCAGCATTCTTCCATTTATTTCGAAGACAGATAAGTAGGATGCCTCAGGGAAAGCTTTTCCTTATTTCCTGATCAATATTCACTACTCGGACATCAGCACACCACTTTCTCATTTTGGAGAGGTGCAATGATTCAATTCTATTTTTAAAAGGTTCCTCCCCTCCTCTACCTTGTCTTTTCCTCTGAGCTGAGGAGCTTTTGTGGGTGATGGATGGATGTGAAAGGTTTCTGCGTAATCTGGATGAAGACAGCCTACACTGTCCTATACCTCAGTCAGGACATAAACACTAAACACTGACAGTCAGCACTTCACGTGAACAGCTACCAAGTATCCGAGCTTATTGGAAAAAAAAAAAAAAAAAAAAAGAAGAAGGTATCTAGACACATTTATAAAGGCAAGGTTTCTCTGGTGGGAAGAGAGGGCAAAGGTTGCTGAAGCACAAGCCCAGAGCCTTACTGGTGTCAAAGGAGCCCTCTTGGGGAAGTAAATTTGGAAAGCTTTATTTTACTTTCCTGTCTCCTAGTCCTAAAGTCTGAAGACCAAACACTAATAACTATTAGTGGAAAGCAGACTTCAGGGAGAGCACTGCCACAGATATTAGACTTGAGACTTCAGTGGGATCAAAAGCTGGCTACTGAGTAAGTGCTAAGTTAAGCTCTCTCTGCTAGAGAAATCCTTGGACGCTGCTTTCAAAGAATTGACTGTGTTGAATAGGGTCAAATAATGTGGTTTATGCTCTTGAGAAGGGCAACAGGTGCTACACCATCCTCTATGTTAGCACTTTTGCTGGGATATAAAGAAAGATTTATATGGTATTAATTATATCTCTCTCCTTCCCAATAACAGTAACAAAAAATCAGAAATAGCGTTTTGACTCATTGTCTGGCATGAGTGGTTATTTACATCTGACACTTGTAGACATGTAACTCTTCTTCTCTAGTAAGACTATAATAGAGCTGTAGGAAATAAAGGAGGAATTGGAAGATACTAGATGAATGAAATTCAGATTTATAAATTCTTAATTCTTAATCTTTGAATGTTTCTTTTTTCCCCACCAAGAACCTGCCATCGCTGAGAAGAAATGACAAGCAGTACCAAGGAGGTGAGAGTGGCCTCATTTCTGTTTGTCAATCTAGTCTGTTCTCCCTTGGCCCAATATATGCACTGTAGCTAAGCCAGAGAACAAGCAAATCTTTTCTACACAAGCAAAAACTCCTTTCTCTAGAGAGATAAGTGATTGTGAACATATTCCTTTTCTAAGACTTTGAAGGAAAAACACAAGCCACCCAGGAACAAAAGACAAATTCCTCCTCAAGACATCAGCAGGACTCTCATATACTGCACATTAAAACTAGTCTAACAGATGGAGGTCTCTGTAAGCAAGAGGAGAAAAAGAAATAATACGCTTATAATGGGACACAATAATGGACTTCACTGGTCTCCTGTTACGACCATTGCTTCTTTTACAACTAACTGTGGAAGAGCAGCGTTAAACACTTAGGTGGTCTTCCAGTACTCTTGGCTGAGATAACAGGCAATAAAGAGGACACCTTGAAGTTTCTATTTCCAAGAAATTCCACTGTGTATTTGGATTACTATCAAATTAGAAACTAGGACACTTATGCAGTTCTCAGTGAGGTTTTAAAACAAAACGCGAACCCCTATTATTAGTTTCTGCAGAAGCCTCAAATATCTGCTGGAAATCTGACTTATAACTTCCTTCTTTCCATAAAATATCCCCTATAGTAACTTTATTTTCTTGAGAACTTTAGAAATGTAGAGGTAAGGTTATGCACTTCAATCTCTCTCCCAGAATCAAGCATTACAAAGAGCATTAAACAGTTTAATGTTCATCCGAAAAGTTAAATCATCAGGCACAGCAGAGAGCATCCTATGGGAGCCATGACAACACATCAATTGTAAAGCAATCAGGAGAGTCACTGGGTATAAAAGTCACATCAGGAATCACCAACACAACCAAGCTGTCTGTACTTTACCTTTTCCAGATAAAGTATCAAACTACCTTCAGAAATGCTGATACCCTAAGGGGACTGAGTTACAGCCCAACCACCAAATTCTAACGGTTGACATTTTATTTATGGATGATCAATCTTCTCAGAAGGACAGCTATGAAATATTTAACCTACAGGACTGAGATAAGGGTCACCTCAATTTTCACAAAGACAGAGTTTGTTGTCCTGAGAGTTCAAGCTTGCGACTGAGCCACATAAATTGTGTGGGGCCCCTCGTCTCTTGTGGCCAGCAGGACTAAAGCTGTCCACGCTCTGGAGTATCTTCCTGCTCCAAAATGTAATATGACTGTAGTGACATGCTCTGATGGCACTAAGAACCTTGAATAAGGAATCAAATTCAATTAAGGGAAAAAATGTCTGCTGTATTGCCGTGATTTTCTTCTCAAAATGAGCAACTTCAATAGAGGATTTGAGAACAAATTTCACAAATGAGTGCAAACTTTAGCCCTAATGCCAGAAAAAGGTTCTTTGCTGAGAATTAACAGCTGAACTGCCGCATTAAAATGTAACATCATCTTGGTCTGAGATGGGTAAAGATGGCATTTTTAGACATAGCTAGATATTGGCAACTACTGCTATTATGCAAAGGTTGAGACCAAGGAGTACTAAACTGATACTTCCTTAAGTAGAAGCTGAAACTGCTCATTTCAAGATGGAAAAATATCTTCCTTTTAAAAAAGACTTCCCCAGAATTGAGGATCTTAAATCTTAAATGAACTTATAAATAGCCTTGAGTTAACAATATAAAGAGGGAGAAATGAAAAGGGGAAAAAATACTTGTTTATAACAAAAAATACTAGGTTTAAAACATTGTTGAGATACCACAGAGAAGAGGGATAGGAAAAAGCCATACAGGTGCAGAAATCTAAAAATGTGTCCATAAAAGAATAAATTAAGAGGTGTATATAAAGTTTCAAACAGAAAGCAAAAGAGAAGAAAACTAGAAAACGTGCTGGAAAACAAGAACACATAAATGGAGATACTGGGCTCTAAGAGTAATCTCCATTATTTTCTCAGTACAAACTTTAAGTTCTGGAGATTTTAGCTAAGTGAAACTAGGATGCAGCATCCATGTAATACTGGAATATCTAGACATCCTGTTATACTGCCTGTTTAAATGATAAAATAGGTTAACTTCTTTGCTGAAAATCTGGCCACCCTGAAGTTACAAACATTTTTATTAAGTCACTGAGGCCCATATTTTCTCCTGAATCCTTCTGGGTAAATACATTTTGCCAACTTCTGCTGTATAGTATTGCTAGTAGTGAAAGAGAGTCAGGGGAGAGGGATAAAAAGTAAGTGGGCAACCTTGAACGTATAATTTGAAGGAAAACTTTTCAGTCTTCATCCTCCCACACACTTGAGGTGACAGAAATGAGCTGCTCAGGACATGCAGAAGGCATCTTGCAAGCGTACGTAACAGTGGATAACAGAAGTTTTGGAGAAGGAAAGCCTCAAAAACTCAATTTCAGAATTGCTCATTGTGACTCACATGCGAGTTTCTGCCAGACCACAATGCAGTATGTGGCAGACACATTTTTTGTACCAGGAAAAAGACAGTGACAATATTACCTAACACATATAAGCAGCTCCAGCTCAACCTGATCTCCCTCATCTGCATGCAGTTTACTGTCTTGTTCCACACTGATTAATCTCAGTTAGTTAAGCCTAGGCCAAGCATGCTAACTTGCAATTAAAAGTAGATAAAGTCATGCCTAAGTAGTCAAATTTAGTTACATGTTATTTATTATCATCCCTCTTGAGTAATGATCTGTTGGGTCTGTGATCACCCCTTTACCCACTGCATTCATTCTTTCCCCTTGCTTGCCACCTTTTTTCAGTTTTCTTTTGTGCTGCTTCTTTGGTACACACTTTAATTCCCCCTCTGATGAATTTGGGATTCATAAGCCACTAAGTACACTCTTTTGGAAACATTATCTCCAAGGGATGATGAAGCACTTCAAGGGATGATGATTACAGCAGCACATCATTTTCTCCTGTCGCACGTGACAGTGAGTGCTGTCACACCACACAAACAGGGTGACTAATACTGACTGAAGGAACGTGGGGAACAGTTTCTTCCTCTGTGCCTTCATCCAGTTGCCCACACTTTAAACTGGCATTGCCACATTTTTATGAAAAGAACTATGGCAGATCCTCTGGAGGATCCTCTGTCAGTTCAAAACTGAACAGACAGTTTTGAATGGAATCTGGTTCTGCCCATCTTTTATCAGAGCAGTGAATTTTTGGGGAGACAGACTGTTCTGCATTTCCGAGTGGAACCTGACCCTAACAGGCATGGCTGTGCAGCTCCCACTTGCTGAAGCAGGGGATTACGTGTGTGATGAGCAAAGAATATAGAAGAAAATACTCCTTGATGTTTTTTTTACACAGTACTGGAACCGTTTTTTTTGCATACATAACGATAGTACTATTTTTACCTTGTCATAAATGACCCATCCACGCCTACTGCCTAGGATCCGCTGAGAATATGATCTTTCCTTCTGGCTGGTTTTCTAGGGAAATCAACTTGACCCAACAGTCCTGCCTGTCAGACCTCCCACCTCACAACTGTTGAACCTGGTAACCAATTTCAACCACATTTGACATAACAGTAGAAATCTCTAAAGAGAATTCAGTTCCTTTAGGATTTATAAAAAACCTGCTTCAGGTAGGGAAGAAGTAGCCAAGTTGGTACTCCCATGAGAAAAACCAGGCTGAATGCAGTCTGGGGGGCAAGGACTGTATGTAGCAGATAGCCGGAATTATAGCAATGGGTGGGAATTAGTAGGAATCCAGACTTCATTAGTCCCACTACTCATGAAATGACTTGTTTACCTAGACATTACAAGTGTTTTCTGAAAATATGTATCTTCTGACATTCTTCTATTATTACTTTTTTCTTGATTTATACCTCATCTATCTAAGCCATTTTCCATCACTTCAGGAACCAAATCTATCATCTGTTGCCAAAACAAGGAAATCATAGCTGTTTTTCAGTGGACTGTGTTTTGCAAATACTTTCTTTTAATTGACTTGCAACTATCAAAGGTAAAGAAATGATAGTGAGGATAAAAGCAACAATTTTCTAGCACAGACTAGATTTGTATAAGCATTTAGTTGTAATTTCCTTACATCTTTACTTTAAACCTGCTCCTACCATGAATTGCTTAATGATTTTGCTCTTTTCTCAAGAGCTCTGCATGAAAACATTTGAATACATTTTCTATGTTTCCTTTGAAGAGGCAAGGACATTTCTTAGTGAATGGGAAAAACAGTACCCTATGTAATTATGACACTGTGAAAGTGGGGGAGAGAAAAAGAGAGGGAAAGGAGGAGAGAGAGAGAGAAAGGAGAGGAAGAGAAGGGAGAGGGAGGAAAAGAGGGAGGCAGAAAGAGTGCTGTTTCACTAGGAAAAGTTTTATCAGAAATCAATAATGAGATGAATATTACCTCTTGAAATGCAACTCTGCTTTAAGAGCTGAGGAAGACTGTATTAGTGATTAGGTATTTGAGATGGAAGAATCTAACACACCTATGTTAGAGAAAAAACATTCCAGACACTGCTTTTCCCATTTAAAGCAAGGTTTTGATGTTAAGTCTTACTTTTGGTATTACAAGTTCTGAAGCAGATTAGCACACACGCTCATTGGCCTGTAAGCCTGTTGTCAGTGTTACAGAGAGTTCTTCTAGTTTACAAAAATCTGAGTGTCATGTCATAAACAGATAAGTTGACCTGTATGAGTCTTTCAGACATAGTGGAAAAACACCTTTGATTTTCAGTTTCAGACGTGCACTTCCAACAAGAGGGCAGTCAAAAAAGTCAGATGTACTACAGTGTGTCCGTTTTGATGGGCCAGTGCCTGACTGATGAAGACATTCTGTAAATTAAACAATGCAAAACCAGACACCAGTGTACACTAGGCTTTCTTAGCTTTCTTTTGTTTAGATGAAATTTTAAAAATCATCCCATAGCATAAATAAATTGGTCTGAAAATATTCACGTTGCAAATTCTTAGCACTTAGTCAGAATTATTTATTTTTAAACAGAAGTTTGCACTCTTTTCATTATGGTTGCTTAATAATAGCCTGTGATTAAATGTTATTTATTTGAAGCACACTTTACCTGTGTCTCTGGGATGATGGGACTATCTTCGGGAGAAATTCTAAAGAAGGTGGATAAAGGCGATGACACGATAACGGGGTTTGGCCTTACAAATCCACTCAGATCGCAACTAGGAATGTCATTCTCTTCCTTCTTCATGACCAGGGTATCCATGACATAAAAGACATTCCAGGGAATCCACACTGTGTGATACTGTGTCAGGAATGGTGAGCGCTCAAACACCAGCGTCAGAGAGGCACCACCATTTGCTACCAAGTCGAACCTAGAAAAAAATGCCAACATGGCTTGCTAGTCAGTAAATTCCCAAAGCCATCCACAGCCTCCATTTTATGGATTGATTCTTCATTCCACTGTACTGCTCTGAAGGCAGAATGGCTCTACTGGGAACAATGGGGAAATCAATTAAATTACATTACATAATACTGCACTAAGAGAATGAAGAGTTTGGCATGCTGCATGTAAAATACGCAAGCCCTTCTACTTCTGAACTATATAATCAGCATGTTTTACATTTGAAGAACATACAAAGTACAACTTTAGTCAATCACTTTGTTCACGTCTTTTGTTTCCATTATTTTATTATTATTACCCTATTTTCACAAGCAGCTCTTCAGTAACGCCTTTGCTGTCTTTATGACTTAAAAGTGCTTCAAAGGGAACTTACATTCCATCTTGGCGAGTGATTGTATATCCGTAGTCTGGATAGTGTAGAAAGGAGACGTTGACTCCAATGAGTGGTGTTCCATCTGCAGTTAATACTTGGCCCCTTATGACGGATGCAAGACTGTGAAAGAGACGCAGGATCAAATTACAAATTTGCTTTTTTGTTCTCTTTTGAATGAATAAAAGCTAGTAGAGTGAGCACACACACACATCTCTCCATGGTATCAACTACCATTAAAAAAACATTCCTGAGACTCTAACCCTTTTACAAGTTCACATAATTTACACTGTATAAACAAATGCCTCGAAATCTACAGATAATAATTCTGTTTCAATATTGTTGATTTTACTTTGGTTTGTTTTGTCTGTACTGAGTTACTAAGACCAGAAATTCACTGAAGAATTTTAAGAACTTATAAACTCTAGATGTTCCCACTGTAAGTCATATCTCTGGCAGCCTCCTAAAGAACAACGTACTTTTCAATTAGTATCAAAGCAATCTGTAAAACTGCAGGGACTATGAAGTACAAAATTTAAAAGAGCAATAAGGAACATTGGTGCAACAACTTTTAATCAACTGCTGTGCCCAAACACATTAATGCTGTTAAATTACTGCAAACGCAATAGTTCCAGTGTAAATCATCTTCTTTCACTCAGTGAGATCCCAGACACCTGCTTCCTGTTACTGGTTTATTTTCAGGTCATTACTGCTTCGCAGAGCACCAGCCAAATAGTTTATGCAATTATACTGTCATGCACTTAACAGTTCTATTACATTAATTCATAATTTATATTATTTAGTGAGCTCAGTTTAAAAAGTGCAGCTTTGCTTTTCCTTCTGAAGTGTTTTCATTGCTTTGATATATTTCCAACTGTGCTAGCCCAAATCAACTGGTTAAATAAAGATTTACTTAATCATTAATGAAGTGCCCTGTTAGAATACAGGTACTAAGCGTGGCAAGTACCTTCTGTCACCTACTGGCACTGGCAATTTGAATTTTGCAGGAAATGAGGCAAAATAAGCAATTTGCTCTATTAAGAGAAAAGGTCTTTGCTGAAAGTCCATGCCATGAAATTTGAGATCACAGTGGATCTTCTCCTAACGTGAATCTCACACACTCTTCAATTTCTTTCGCGTTCATGAGTAAATGATGAGTCATGCTCACCTCTTATTAAAAGGACTTTCCCCAGGTATGACATGAGTGCTGTCTGCTCCGATGAGAAAACTGATCCGGTCATAAAATGCTTTGGCAGCTTGCTGAGATGGCGACTGTTGGCTTTGGCTGATAATATCTTGGGGATCAGGTAGTCCACGACAGTAAGGCTGGTTTTGGCAAGAACTCTGCAAACAGCAGTCAGGATCCATACAGTCAACTAGCCCATCTGTTGGCAGAAAGTCACACAAATGAACAAACTCTTCCTCCTGCCCCTTTGCATCTGAATTGAGCCAGCCAGCAGAGAGATTTAAGAAATTATATAGTATGAAAGAATACGAATAATTAAGATTTTAATGAATTCACTTTCAATTAAGGAAAGAGAGCTTGTTTCCACTGAGTCCTTAAACTCCCATGGAAATCCATGCAAGCTGAATATATTCAGTATCATGTATAAATTAAACCTATTTATTCAATACTTTTCTAAAAACATGTTGAACAAACCAGAAAATGAAGGTGCTCAGGCTCTGCATACACTGTCAACTTATAAATATTAAATATTTTAGGTGGGTCTAAGTAGCTTTTATCTGAGGTTATTTGGCTTGCTAGAGAAAAGAAACAAGTAACTCCCACTCTGCTGTTTTCCTGAAGTTTTTTTAGCATATCTATGCTGCAAGTAGCTTTAAATATTTCACAACATTTATCAAGGTGGATTCCTTTATACCCTGGCAGAAAGATTTTGTTGCTAGTGGCAAAGGCAATTTCCACAACTGTTTTCCATGAAAATGTATGAGAGAACAAAATCTGTATTTAACGTTTAGATTTTATTCTGAATAAACTGATGAGGAATGCTGGCCAGTATAAACAAGATTTAAACACATGGGCGCTTTTATGCTTATGTGCTGAAATATTCACATATAAGGAACATTAGATCTGTCACATCATGGAAATCTAATTTGGAGAAAGATTAAAATCAAGATCAAATTGATAACTACTAATTTGCTGTAAGTAAAGTCATAAGGAAAATGAGCCTGGAAATGTCAGCTACAGAAAATTTCTAGATGAATGTAATATGGTATTACATAGCTGATAATTGTTTCCCCAAAAGATCAGCAAGACTGAAATAGCTCAAACATTTTATTATTCCATTTAGATTAGAGAGGAAGCTTGCTTGCTGCACTAAACTGAAAAATATACCAACGCAGCACTCAGAGGAAGCCCATGACTGCTTCTCCTACAAAAGAATCTAGCTTTAGAGTAAAACTTCTTTCTGAAGGGAAAAATATAAGTAAACAGAGATCTTCTGAAGGTATTCCTCTAAGTATTGCTGTGCTATGTGGATCAGTTAGAGGATTGGCAAAATAGTAAAGAATTGGGATTTCTATTCTTTTGCACATCTGAAATTCTTATTTAACTTGGCTGACATTGAACTCAGTTCAGGGAAAATAAAAGGGATAAAAAAGTCATCATTAAGTATATCAAAGTTTAAACTTTTTTAAGAGAAAAGAAAGAACATTGATTTTTCCTGAGATGAGGATATGCCAGAGGGTCGCGTTGCCATTCAGACAGACCTCGACAGACTGGAGAAATGGGCTGACAGGAACCTCATGCAGTTCAACAAAGAGAAGGACGAAGTCCTGCACCTGGGGAGGAACAACCCCATGCACCAGTACATGCTGGGGGACAACTGGCTGCAAGGTAGCTTTGCGGAGAAGACCTTGGGAGTGCTGATGGACACCAAATTGAACATGAGCCAGCAACATGCCCTTGCAGAAATGAAGGTGCCAATGACGTCCTGGCCTGCATTAGGAGGAGCGTTGCCAGCAGGTCGAGGGAGGTGATCCTTCCTCTCTACTCAGCACCAGGGAGGCCACACCTGGAGTGCTCTGTGCAGGCTGGGCTTTCTGGTACAAGAGAGACAAGATGGACATACTAGAGAAAGCTCAGTGAAGGGCCATGAAGATGGTTAAGGACTTGGCACATCTCTCCTATGATGAAAGGCTAAGAGAGCTGAGACTGTTTAGCCTGGAGAATAGAAGGCTTGGGGTGGGGAGGGGGGATCTCATCAACATGGACAGATACCTAATGGGAGGGTGTAAAAAAGACCACCTTTCAGTGGCATCCAGCAAAAGGACAAGAGACAGTGGGCACAGACTGAAACACAGGAAATTCTGGCTAGACATCAGAAAAACTTTTTTTACTGCAAAAGTGGTCGGACACTGCAACAGGTTGCCCAAGATGTGGAGTCTCCATCCTTGGAGATATTCAAAACCCAACTGGATGTGGCCCTGAGCAACCTGCTCCAGTTGACCCTGCTTTGAGCAGGGGGTAGGACTAGATGATTTCCAGAGGCCTTTCCAACCTCAAATAGTCTGTGACTTCTGTGATTTTTCTAGTCTTATTCTTGCACAATATGAAATCCTTTCCTAGCTGAAGTACTGACCTCCCTTGCTGGTTTTAACTCCAGAAGCCTGGATCAGTGTCAAAGCTGGGGGTACTCATGGTTAAAAGCATAGTTGGGGTTTTTATATCTCTGTGTGGTCTTTCAGGCAATATCTGGTGCAGTTGCCAAAGAAATGCTCAAATTTCTTCATTCATCTTTGTTAGTTTATAAAAAGCAAACGTACATCTGGAGTATAGTCTGCAGGTCATAAAACTGCATGAGATTGACACCTTCTGAACTAATCAGCTGGAAATGCATTTTTACAAGCCTCTCCACTAACATCAATCAGAGAAAGAATCTCATTTTCACCAGCCGAGATACAGGGATACGCTGTCTGTTATTTTTCTGCAGAGTTTATCAGCAACTTGCCCAGGCGAGTGACGGATGGTTATGAATCTGGCTCCTTATAACTTGCAAAAACATTTTTCATTCTTTTTCTGTACTTATGTGGCTAGAGCTATCTAGTACCAGTAAGTTGAGTACTCTATTGCATTGTGTGAAGCACAGCAAAATTTCCTTTCTGAAATGGCTCTGCAAAATCATTGATGAATTTTGTTTAGCCTGAAAAATATGAGACTTGGCTCAACAGTGGCTTATATCACTCATATGGTAGTGAAATTATAAAGAAAATAGGAACTCCTACAGGCAGCTGGACAATCATTATCAGTCTCGGAAGATTTTTTTGTTGTTGTTCTAGATGTAAGTAGTTCTTCCATATACAGAAGATGTAATGAATACATTATTGTTTTCTTCCTGAAAAGCTAAAGTCTAGCTCTAAAAGTCTTGACCAATGTTATTTTTCCCTTTGTTGCAAAATGTACAGAATTGCAATGAGCATGGTCTGTTGATAACATTGCTTATTTGGAGAGACTAATAAAACCACCTAAACATTAAATGAGAGGAATCAAGACAGAGGATTCCCACACTTACGGATGTCTAAAAATTAAGATGTATCAGTGGGCGTGTTTGCTTTTGAATGGAATTTAAAGGGTATGTATAAAACTGCTGGAAGGAAATAAAACAGGGGGACAAAACAAGTCCTGGGCACAAGTTATGCCAGTGTCAAGGGGAGATCGTTGCCAAGGACCTACATAAATCACATTCTTGGTAAATAAGTTGATTATATATTTAGGCAACAAAGAATCTCCATGAAGTGAAATTCAGTGCCTACATAGGAAGAATACAGTTTTGGAGTTATGATGCTGGCCATCCCACCAGGATGGTTTCGGTGACTGTGGCACACTAAGGCAAGAGGCTGGAAAAGACACAAAACTGTATTAACAAATCTCAATTGTCCTCACACAGTTCTATTTTACAACAGGCTATAATGAATGGACTCAATTGTAGACACCCAAAAGGACTGCCTGTCAGAGCAGCTGGTTGGAAAAGCCACAGAAGCAGAAATAGCCCTTGATTTATTCCTGAGCAGTGCACAAGGACCTTGTTCGGTGTTACTATTGCAGTATCTCTATAAGCATACCTATAGTGTACTCAAATTCAGCATTCCTGTTGGAGTGAAGAAGTCTAAAATATAAAGTGTTGGGCTCTAAAGGAGCTGTCACTCCAGAAAGAAATCTTGGAGTCACGGTGGATAAGTGCTATGGATGTATCAACTCAGCACTCCCCAGCAACCATAGATACAAACAAAAAGCTGAAAAATAATGGCAACTGTTGGAGCACAAACCAGAGAACATAAGCATGCCGCTGCATGAGTCCTAATTCAAGTATAAACTTCCTGAAATTTCCTGAGCTTGGGTTATCTTTGTACTTAATAACCCTTCTGACATTCAAAACATTATGTGGCAGTAATTCCCTACTTTAATTAGCAGCTTGCTAGTATACCAAAGAAAATATAAGTTCACATTTGTCCTATTTCTTCTTTTGCTAAGCATTTGCTATTAGCCACTATCAGAGAAGAGGCCCTGGTTTAGGTAATCTTTAGGCTGAATTTGTACTACCCTGTGACAATGATTATCAGAAGCAGGCTATCCTAGCCTATGCAAGTAATTACAAAAATACAGTAGTGCTAAGTACACTTTGCTTTATTACAGTATTTATTTTCATTTTCATAATAAAAGAATATTAATAATCCCTTAAATCCTACTGGTAGAAACCTGTAACTACTCTTATTAATTGGATAGAAGCTAATAAAAAGCAAATTTAACAAAGGAATCTGTTCAATAAAGACCTACCTAAACTAAAAAGTAAACAGCTTATTCTTCCTACAGTGATGACAAAACATGGTCCACTTTGTTGAAGCATAATAGTGACACATTTTTCCCCAAGTAATGAAGTTAGGCTTATTCCACCCACGGATGACTCTGACTTCCCCTCTCCCCACAAAGTCATTAGGAGTTTAATTCAGCCTAAGTTCTGCTTGTTGCACACACATTTGTTGTGGGTTGCTAAAATGTAAAGAAAATTCTGTATTTTATTATCCAAATCAAACACATGGAAAATAAAGAGTGATCCTTAAAGGGAAAGGAAATGATCTGCAAGATTCTCAGAAATCTGTATGAAAATGAAGATGAGTAATAATCATCCCATCTTACGTCAACAGTATCTAGAAGGGAAAATGATCAAGTAAGCCTTGATGTCATTAGCATTTCCTATGGAGAATATTCCCATTGAGGTCTTTGGGATGCTCATGTTCACAGAATTTGAACAATCAGTCTCAAAAAGAACTAAGAATCAAAGGAACAGCAGACACTGTCATTAATGAATTATACTCATATTAATATATGAAATATATTTTATCCAGTGTGGGATGAAACATAAACATTAACCAAAGTGTATCAATTAGCTAACAACAAAGATAACTTTAATTATATAACCACTGAGCCTAGTGCAATGTAAATCACACTACCTGCAATCATGGCATACACTCAGCGTAAGTGCTCAGATAACCTAATCTCCCACAATAAACAAATACAGCAAAGGCATCCTTGGGCCATCGCCTGTAGCTGTCTGGGATTTGAATGGCTTGCTCGAGAGATTAGTGGGCTGATTGCAGGTACTCTTGGAAAGGGAAGAAACACTGCTTCTCCTTCCAGGTGGGTTTCTAACAAAGACGACTTTCTTTTCCCGGTTTTATTTCATATGCTTCCAGTTTTTAATTTAATTGTCATATTTTAACTCGTTTCCTCAGCCACTGGTCAAAGATTGAAGTGAATATGCTCTGTACTGAAGCATATAAATTAAAATAAGGTCCACTGAAGAGAAATGCCAGTGACAAATAGCATTATATTGGTCAATCATGGCAAACCAACTGTTTGGCCAAGCCCTTCCTCATACATAGCTGCATAGTGTCTGTAAAGGAAATAATGAAAAAAACTGAGAGAAAAATCCAACAAAATACCAGCATTAGACTTCTTTTTTTTCCAATATTGTTCTTTCTTCTTGAACTTTAAGTCATCCTGTTAGACCCTTCTGCTCCAATTCCTCATTCCTTTTCCTCACAGCTATTATTGTTTTCAGTCTGAAGGAGCATCTTCTTTTCCCTTGTTCCATTTATGTGCATTCCTGTTCACCTTGCTCCTCCTCCTCCCACTGCTCCGTCATCTGCTTTTGACTCTTCCTCTGATATATCACGTCCTACTGTTATCTTTAACATTTACTGAATCTGTTTTAGTCTATCACTGGGCTTTCAACTTTTTTCCCCTTTTTTTCCCTACATGATCTATTTTTTTCCTCCAAGTTATTTATGCTCTAACCTAGTTTCTCCTCCTCCTTGCTTTGTCTCTTTCCATGCTTGCAGGCTTCTCTTTTCTTCCTTATGTTCATAATCCCCCGAGTCCACCTGAACTTAATTCCCCAAACGGCACATCTCTGCCTGGAAATGCTATGGCTAATCATTCCTCTTGCTCCCTTCCTACATGCAGAAATTCAGCTTCACACTAGCTCAGATTGCATATATGAGATTGCGTCAGATTCTTTAGGCCCCTAAATGTGCAAAACTGACTCAAAAATACACAATATGTAACAGAGAAGGATGACAAATCAAGGGATGTGTAAAGCAGTAACAGCACCACTGTTTTAACCATGCCACTTATTTTCCTCAGGAAGTAAATGCTGCTGTTATTTATAGTTTGTGATGTCTAAGATCCCTAAGTCAGGATATGACAGCAAACAGCCAACCAGCAATGGCAAAGGCATACGCAGTCTAAAGCTGAAAAACAAAGTCACAGATGACTTTATCATCATCCAGAGGCCCTAATGGAGGTTCTTATCTCTGCTCTGAATCTGAAGGTGTTGAACAAAAAGAGTTGATGAGAGAAGGGGGAAGAAAGACAGACAATAAAAGCATTATGGTGATCCAATATTTGACTGCATTCACATTTAATCATGTTTTTGTGTGGGTTTTGTGTGATTCTGGAGTCATGCCAAAGTCACAGCCCCTCTACCTTCCCTACCCTACCACGATGATTGCAGATTGATTCCTTAAGTCAACAATCCTGCCTGCATCTCACTGCAGATTGTTACTTGTCACCTGAATGACAGACTGCGGAAAAGCAAGCCAAAAAAAAAGACTTCTGGGAGCATCCTGTCAGTTATCTGAGCATTCACAGGCTATGGAGTGATAAGATCTCTGTAGACTGGGCAACCAATTGTTTCCAGCAATAGTACCATAGGTCAAAATGTAAACTCCGCGTTTGGCCTTTTCTCTTGGGATAATTTCCTTGTGAGGTCACTGAAAATTTGAACTCCTTTCTTTTTTTCCCTCTCCACTACAGTTCACTGAGTTGAGACTAGGTTTTATTCCAGTATAAAAGAATATTGCAGGGAAACTAAGGTGACACCCATCATTTTCTAAGTACATATCTCACCTGTCACAGGCAGCTTACAAGGTTTTTGCTGATACGCCACATACAAGCACTGAATACCGCAGCCTATTCTTACAAGCATAAGAGCTACTAAAATGCGTGTACGGTTCTCACGGCAGTTTTTAATCACCGGACTGTAAAAATCTCTGTTCCTCAACACGTTCTCCCCAGTGTTAAAGATCCAGTTGGTATATCTTACCTCCTTCGTTGTCCTTACTGTCAGTGCAGAGAGTTTCCATGGCTACGTCACAGCCCGCTCCCCTCCATCCTGGCTGGCAGACGCAGTGCCAGCCGTTTTGGTCCAGCGTGCATCTCCCATTGCTGTTGCACAAGCCAGGGCAGCCCTCTGTTGAAACAGACAAAGAAGAAAAATCGCAAGTGATTTAAATATTGCAATTATATAAAAAGAAAAAAAAAATACAAACAAGGGACACTTACTGGGAACAGGCCTTAAGAACAGCACAAATACTGTAATTGCACATGGAGTGGAACAGCAACGTTACCTGGGGAATGTAATTCTTAACAAAGTGGCATCTTTGATTGGCCTGACACTTGAGACACCACTTACCTGTACAGGCAGGAAATAAATGCACCAATCCTCTAAATACCTGCAGGCCAGACAAAATTAAGTTTGTTTTTTAATTTTTTTTCTTTAAATTTTTTTTTTGGCAAAGTAACAAAAGATGAGTGCATAGTGCAAACACAGCTGCGTAAAATGATACATTTTTCTGTGCTCATAGAATAGATCACTATTTGCTCTATGCAGTATACGGGCACAAATGTTTAAGCTCCCTGTTAATGCGAACAAGTCCCTCCAAATTCTGAAGTAGGAAAACGGGTATGATTTTAGGCACATAATAAACGCGAACGTTAACTTTATCTGGTCTCAGAGTTGCCGTATATTCATGTGAAATTACAGTGTGTTAAATAATTGCACAAAGTATAGGCCAGTTTTAATGACTATACTTCATGCCAAAAATACATTCCTTTTCACAGAATAAGCAAAGCCCAGGAAATAGTGAAGCAGCTTAGCATCTATTCTAACAAACATTAGGATTCAGGCTGCATACGGATGGGACAGGACCAACAGGATTTCCAACTAAATGTAATAGCTGTGCGTATTTGATTACTTAGGACGGACAAAATGAAATACCATAAGGACCACAATAAAACATTGATAGACTGAACAAAAACACGGTAGTGACGTGCTTCAAGACAGATAGCAGAGAGTGATTTTTTGTGACAATCTCCCTAAGGCTTTTGTGCTGTTACCTTTATATCCTATCTTGTCTGCTTTTATGGCCAAGGAGGGAAAATTTGGGAAACAATTAAAATAATTTAATATATCCAAAATCGATAATTGTTTTCAGTCTAACATTGCATTAAAAAAAACAGTATCTGTCACTTCCTGGTGATGAAATCTGGCATGCAGCCAACATGACCTGTATGAGGATGACAACACTATAAATATGTAGATTTTGGTGTTCCTTATCTATGGCTATGGTAAGACACTGACAGAAGCAAGTACAGATATGGCACTAAGTATCTTATGAGAAGGTGGCTACAAAGCAGATATTTTTGGATACAACAATTTTCTGTAAACTTTTATCCAAAAAACCTAAGGAACTGGCTGAAAACTTCTTCACTTTGTAGAAGTACTGTCTTCATGAACTAATCTACCGACCCATTTTGGTTAAGCCTAGTTGGGCTTAGAACAGTCTTGCAGAATTAATAGTCTGTTTTTTTTTTTTCTAAAGACTTTTGAATTTACTGACTCCTTTCAACCATGTAGCTCCACATTACAAACATTGCCAGAAAAAAGTTATAAAGGGTGCTTAACTCTTGTTAAATTAGTCTTAGAAGGCAGAGAATCAGGAAAACCTCTTGTGAGGAAGGATGGTGATCCTACAGCTAAGGATATTTTGCCATCATGCAAGGCTGAGATTAGTCTTACTACTCTCGCTCCTTCAGACTGTAGCTGCTAATAGTATTTGACGATGTACTGAGAGCTATTTTTTCTTAATCTTTCTTCTGTTTAATTTATGGAAGACTTACATATTTAATTGCAATACTGACAGAGTGTTGTAGGAGTCAACTGGGTACACTCATGACTTATTGTGTGAAAGCCTGGATATTGCCATGAATATTGCCATATTCCAATGAAAAAAACACGAATAGGGAATAGAGAAAGATACT